TGAGCCCAGGATGTTGAGGCTGCGGTGAGCCGTGATCATGCCACGGCACTCCAGCCTGGGTGACAGAGTGAGACCCCCCACTCAAAAGAAAAATGCAAGAGAGTCCCTACAGACGAGAAACATACATGGAAGAGACCCACCAGCAAACGATACAATGTGATACATGCAACCAGGGTTTAGGCACAAGGTCCAAAGAAGGAAATTCTCTGGGGATAACTTCCAAGAGGTAGTAGTCCTTAAAGGCGATCTTAACAAATGAGTAACACTTTGCCTGGGGGGAAAAAAGAGGGCAAAGGCAATAGCTGTGCAAGGACACAGCTATTTTATTTTTTGTAGAACAAGATCTTGCGATGTTGTCATAAAACAGGGCGTGGCGCACTTGAAAACTACAAATACAGAAATGCTGGGGAGTGAGAGCAGAGGCAGGGCATGGGGACAGACAAGCAGAAGAGAAGCGATAGGTAGACATGGACCAGCTACGAAGGGTTTCCTGTGCCAAAACTTTCAAAATACTCAGAAAACAGGCACATGATCAAGTATGTCTAAAGGAGTGATAGACAACATATTCAGAGGAAGGGGGGACAGAATCCGTTTAGTTAATTGTGTCGCTAATTACTTTCTGGGGTACCCTAAGCATTCAGGACAGGATTCTGGGTGATGAGATTCCCCTGCAGGCTGAAGAAGGCTCAGGGATGCCATCTAGGAATGAACCAAAATGGCTGTCATGCACCAAAATGGCTGTGGGTAGGTGAGAATGGCAGAAAGAATTGTGTTCCAGTGAAGCAAAAGGGACAGCAAAGTGACAAGGGACAAGTAGAAATGAAGAAAGTGTTGTCCCCTTGAGATACCTTAAATTAAATTAGACAACAGTGGAAGCAGTTCCGTTTTATGACCATTTTCACACACCTTGTCTGGGTCAATGAAGTAAAGATGACAATGTGATCATGGAAGCTGATCAGTTTGGCATACCTTAGGACTCTTTTCTTGGGACATGAATTATCTAGGTAATTTCTTATGCCTTATGGAGCCAATTGTGTGGCCACCCCAGGGAAAGGAATCGGGGACCCAGACATGGTGTTGGGACTGCCAGACATAGATAAAAAGCTGTGTTTATTTCAACATAAGAGAATAGTTACATATAAATGGGATGTTACAAAGGCTGTTCTTCTTGGTAGTGAGCTTAGAGAAGACTGGAAGAAAAGCCCAAGTCAGTGCTGCCAGATATCTTTTTCTCAAACATTCAGACAGCTGATTTGTCATTGTCATTGGGCAAGGCATGCTGGGATCTTGGCATCCCAGAACTTAACGGCAGGAAGAGGAGAACATCCCCAACAGAAATGCTCGGCATGGTGAGATCGTGAGTGGGGAGGACTGCTGAGGATTAAGATGTCCAGATGGTCCAAGGTCCAGGGCCTAATCTCTATGTAAGCACAAACATGGCTCAAACAAATGTTGGTGGCAAGAGGTCTCTTCCAGTGAGTGAGACATGCTGGTAAGGGGTTCCAGAAGCCAGAGAAATGTGAGATCTTCCCTCATGTGGCATAACTACAAACAGTAATTAGAGGGCCACTCTGAGCTTCAACTGTGCCTGCATGTGTCATTCTATCTAAACTTTGGTGAGTTATTGTTGTTGTTTTGGTTTTTTGGTTTTTTTGGTTGTGTGTGTGTGTGTGTGTGTGTGGGTATCAGACTCTCACTCTGTTGCCCTGTGAGAGTGCAATGGTATGTTCGTGGTTCACCATAGCTTCGATCTCTTGGGTTCAGGGGTTCCTTCTACCTCAGCTTCCTGAATAGCTGGGACTGCAGGCACACACCACCACTCCTGGCTAATTTTTTTTATTTTTTGTAGAACAAGATCTTGCTGTGTTGCCCAAGTTGGTCTCAAACTCCTGGGCTCAGGCAGTCCTCTTGCCTCGGCCTCCAAAGTGCTGGGATTACAGACATGAGCTACTGTGCCCGGCCACTGGATTTTTATTCATGCTATTTCTTCTGCCTGGAATCTCCTCCACCAATACTCCATCCTTCTCTTGTCAAAGAACTTTTCACACCACTCACGCACCCATTTATAGATCTGTCTCCCTCACTAAATCATATGTCCCATGAGTATGGGCTTGACTGTCTCATCGGCCATTTACTTCTGGCATCTAGTAAATGCCTCCCCACACAGCAATTTCTTGATAAGTACATGCTGAATTAATGAATGAACTAAAGAGAAAGAAGCTGGGATAGGATCCAGCCCATGAACTGGAATGTCAGTTAACCACTAAGTTTCAGTGCTTTGGCTCTATGGGAGAGCCAGCATCTCATCTGGGGTAACTGGACAGCATTTTAGTAGGTGAGGCCCACACTGAGGGCAGCAGAGAGCTCTGTGATGACTCAGGGTACCCGAAGTCCCAGGGAAGGTTGTATATAAAAGGAGATTTATGAGTCAGACTGGCATTCGGCCATCTGACTCGGACTCCTGATGGTGGGAGATGTCCCATAACTCCTAGCCCCAAAACTCAAGTTGTTCATGGATATCCTGCCCCTGCAAAGGGAGCACAAAACAGGTCTCATCAGTAGATTCAGTCACAGGGAGTTAGGAAAAGAGAGGAAGTGAGGATTGCCAAGCAGAGAGAAATGACATGGAGAATGACAACTGTTACCTTGATCTAACCAGGCTGAGAATGTTTTAGAATGTTAAAGAATGTGAGAGAAAAGCGTAAAGCTTAGTCAAATAGTTTGGAGATCTATAATAAAGCATCTTTTGCATGCAGTTCCCAACAGAGATGAACATGATCCCTTCGTCATCTCAGCTTCACCCCTTATGACTGCTTAGCGAGGTCTCTGACCCTCAGTTCCCACATCTACTAAATGACATAATGGGTCTGGCTTGGTGGCTCAGCCTGTCATTCCAGCACTTTGGGAGGCCAAAGCTAGTGGATTGCCTGAGCTGGTTCGAGACCAGTTCGGGCAACTTGACAAGACCTCATCTTGCTAATAAATCAAAAATTAGCCGGGCGTGATAGCGCATGCCTATAGTTCTGGCTACTTGGAAGACTGGGGTGGAAGGGTAGGTCGAGGCTGCGGTGGCCATGAGTGTGCCACTGCACTCCAGTCTGAGTGACAGAGTGAGACTCCAGCTCAAAAAAATTAAAAATAAAGTTTAAATGACAAAATGTATGGAAAGTGCCTAGTACAGTACCGTATATATATATATGTTTATTGAGTATATATATACTCAATAAACAGTACCTGATGCCAGATGCTGCTGGCACCGGGACTTAGACTTCAGCGAAAGGCCAGATGGCCCAGCGTCTTAAGGAAATGTTGGGTCACTCCCCACCACACACACACCTTCTCAAACACACACACAAGCACCAGTAGGTTCTCTGGGGTTTTCTGCAAGTGAAGGAGACTGCCAACCTTCTACCAAGGGCCCCAGGCCACACACCATGAGTAGCCATGCTGCATTCTAAATTCTGATCAGTTTCACAGCTATGTGTAGTCTGACTCGGAAATGAAGGACAGTACATTGGGGACTACACACCGCTATTTCCCAATATGAGGGGGACCTCTCAAAACACAACTCTTTTTTTCATCAACTATATGAAGGTTCGTAACCCTGGATGCACATTAGAACCACCTGGAGTCCTTCTTTAAAAGATTAACTCTCAGGTTCACCCCTAGAACGAATAAATTAGAAACTCCTGGGAACGGGGCTGAGCTAGAGTGGTGTTGCGAAGGTCTCCAGGTGATTCTGAGATGCCAGTCGAAGAGTGGTAGTCTGGAATCACAGCACTGGCATCCCTTAGGAGTCTGTCCAAAATGTAGGTCCTCGGTCCCACCCCCAGACCAAATCAGAATCAGAAATGAAGTAGAATCTGCATTTAAATGAGACGCCCAGGTGACTCCCAGTCACCTAGAATTTTGAGCCGCAAGGGTTGGTATCAGGAACTCTCAATTCTGGCTCCACAGTTTAATCATGTAGAGGAATTTCTTAACAGGCAGATACTCGTGCTCTACGCCCTGAGATTTTTATTTGACTGGTCTGAGAAGGATCTAGAATTAGTATTCTGAAGAAACACCCCTGGGTGTATTGGCTTTGTTTGAACGTAACAAAGGTTGAGAACTACAGTGCTCTGTAGGTGATGCCCCAGTGATAGGTTGGATTCTTTAGCAAGGAATGCCTTCACAGAAGGAAGCTTTGAAAGATGAGGTTTGGCAACTTTTCCTTTCTCCATGGTTTCCTCAGAATTGGCACAGATAACAGATTTGATCTAGCATGGAATGTTCTAGCAACATGTTGAGAAATGTCTATTTCATATGTCTCTCTTAGAGGCGTATATGTTATTTGTATTTTCTATTTCCTTTCTTTGATAGCTTCAGTTTATTAATGACTAACTTTATTTGCATAATAACAACAACCAAAATGGAATATGCTCCTCTTAGGGACATGACTCATGTTCTAGTTTTACTTGATGTAAATAATTTTAAATATTTATATCAAAACAAACAGAGATATTATAGGGTAGAAAATACATTTCTTGTGAATTCTAAAGATAAAACACAAGGCTTCAAAATAAATATTTGCACTTTTAGCGAGCAATTCAGTCTGTATTTGACCTCCTAGTGGGATGAATTTATTCTCTCTCTGCCCTTGGGACTAGGTTAGGGAGAAAATCTGAGGAGCTCTGAACCAATGTTATTATTTGAAATGTGACACTCCTCGTTGATTTGGTTTCAAATCCTCAGCAGTTAGGGCATCTTGGCTTATCTCAAATGCTAGAAACACTGTAGCATTTGTCACTTCAATCCCAGCCAAGGGTCAAATGCATCACACATAGAAGCTAAAATAAATTCTAGAAGCTGTTTTTGCAGTTGACTTAACTTTATTCACATGATAGCTGTAGGGACTGACAAAGACTTGCTCTAACATTCCTTCTGGCAGGTTGAGTCGTTCAGCAGCAGACAGTGTGAGTTGAAGGGATGTGTGTGTGGTGAGACAAATCAGGGGCTTGTTACATCTTCATGAATCCGGTTTAATTTTAACCTTGTGGCTTGCCTAACACATTTCCAGTAAGAGTTGGGGGATAAATCTCACGTTCCCTGGCAAACGCTTGGCAGCCCTCGAGAGGAGCATCTATACAGAACATATCATCCATCCTAGCACTAGGGTACAGCAGACATTGTGAGACAAGGTCAGAGGTGCCTTAGGGTGCCAAGAATGGCATCCCATGACAAGGACAGCAGTGGGATCTCAGGGCATAGAGCAGGCAGCTCTGGGGTGTCTCAGTCAATCCCAGGATCATGTCATGGCCTCTCAGTACTGATAGGACCGCACAAGAAGCCACATAAGGAGAACCGTAATCAAGACAACGGTGAAGTTGAGAAACAGCTCCCGGGTGGATCGCTCCATTCTCAGAGTGACTTGGTGAGAACTTCAGGCAGAGTGAAGGTAACCAAAGGCTTCTGGCTTGTCTTCACCTCCTAACAGAAAGTAACAAAGAAAACATGGGGAGATGATCAAGCATTCCTGTACAACAACGCCCATTGCTTTCTCAAAGGAAATTAGAAGTGTTGTGGAAAAGGAGAATGTTTATGGGGTAAACTGTGTCCCCCAAAATGCCGAAGCCCTGACCACCAGTGCCTCAGAGTATGACTGCCTTTGAAGACAGGGCCCTTCAGATAAGTTAAAATGAAGTGTTCCAGTCAGTAGTCACCAATAGGACTGATGTTCTTATAAGAAGAATCAGGGCCAGGCTTGGTGGCTCATACCTGTAATCCCAGCACTTTGTCAGGCTGAGGCGGGAGGATTGCCTGAGGCCAGGAGTTTGAGACCAGATCTTGTCTCTACATAAAAAAAAATTTTTTTAACTAGCTGGTGTTGTGGCACATTCCTGTAGTACTAGCTACTCGGGAGGCTGAGGCAGGAGGATGGCTTGGTCACCAAAGTTAGGATTTGAGCTTCCAGTAAGCTATGATTGTGCCACAGTCCTCTAGCTTGAGCGACAGAGGGAGACCCTGTCTCTGAAGAAGGAGGAAAAAGAGGAGGAGGAAGAGGAGGAGGAAAAAAGATTGGGACCGCAGACCCGTACACATACAGAAGGAAGACCATGTGAAAACATAAGGAGAAGATGGCCATTTACAAGCCAAGAAAAGAGGCCTCAGAAGACATTAACCCTTCCAACTCCTTGGTCTCAGACATCTAGCCTCCTGGCTTCCTGGCTTCAGACTGGAGCTGCCACTCTTCCCTGAGTCTCCAGTCTGCCAGCCTACCCTGCAGATTTTGGACTTGTCAGCTTCCACAATCACATGAGCCAAATGCCTTTAAAAAAGTATCTCTGTCTCTGTCTCTGTCTGTCTCTCTCTCAGTTATGTTTCTGGAAGAACCCTGAGAAATACAGAGAGAGCCTGGTTTCTCGGCCTGATGTCATAAAGACCAAAGTTTTTGTTCTGATTTTTTCCTGTGGTGATCGTATCGATACTTTTGATAAAATACAAAATAATTCCATTTTTCTCAGGTCACCAAAACAGAAAAATGTTCCAGTTCAGTATTGTTCTTACTTTGAATTACTTATAGAAGTGAGATACCATAATCCTTCAGGTCCAAGGCTGCTGTAAGGCTTCATCTAACCCTGGTGAAAGCACAAAGAACTTTCAACAGCTGCACAGCTTCTGACAAGTCCTGCGTTGGGCACAGAGCCTTCTGGGATCAACCAAAAGCCCCTCGCATAACAGGCACTCAGTCCAAAGAGCAAGTGCTAACCTCATGGGTACTTCTGTTTCAACAAAGGCTTGTGCCAGCTATTTTTAGTCAGGTCCAGGATGTGCCTACATTGTAAACACTTCAAAGAGCAGGAATGGTATCTTTAGTGTGTACACATTGTCCATACAGGAAATCACACTTGGAGAAAGTAATTAGATATCTATATTTTAGACGCTTAGGGAAAAAGTCTACTGTGGAGTGAAAAAGTTTAGAGAGAAAGAATGTTTTGTTTGTTTGCTAAGGATGAGAGCTCAAGAGGCTTAAAGGGATGTTAGTAAGCTTTGGCCTGAATGGTATTTTTAGCCACCTAACCTGACCGAATTATTCATTGTAATTACCGTATTGGTTATTGTTTCAATGGACCAAATTATTAATTGCATAGATGCCAGCTGGATAATCTTTTTTTATATTAGGTGATTGTTGGAATAACATACACGTTCAGCCAGGCACAGTGACATGTGCCTGTAGTCCCAGCTACTTGAGAAGATAAGGCGGGAGGATTCCTTGAGCCCAGGAGTTTGAGATCAGCCTGGGCAACATAGCAAGATCCTAAGTCAAAAAAAAAGTATAGGTTCAGATCAAATGGCGCCAACCAACAGGTTGTTGAATCTTGGTTTAAAATATGGCCCAAGATGGCAGATTTATGTTTTGTTTTAAGTTGTATCCTCCTTTTGGACCTCAGCATGAAGGAAATAGTAAATTGCCAGTAGATATCTTTACAAAGATTTGCTTGGAAAATAAAGTAAAGGGAAGACAATGAACAGATAAAGGAAAAAGAGGATGTATAGGAATATACACAAGAGTAGAGAGAAACAGGAGGGTCACGAGCCTAGTCAGGGAGCCTGAGGGCAAAGACAGACTCTTCCTTGCAAACCTATTAATGAAACAAACCCTGGTCCAAATACCTATTTATTTAAGTTCTCAAGAAATACAGAGATACACAAGAAAATATGAAGCCCAGTTTATAATGATCAAAACAACCCAATTCAGGGCGAGGGGCAAAATCATGGTCCCTCCAAATCTGTTTATTAGATTAAACTCGTAAGCAAAGAATCATGGGTGATGGTCCAAGAGGATACTCGGAAAATGAGAAAAAATGTTGTTGCAAGTTGTCCCACAGTTCTGTTGGAGTTACCTTCACAATAATTCGGAACAGTGTTACTGCAATTTTTGTCTTTCTCGAGATGCCAGCTGAGAAACTGACTTTTAGAGAGAGGTTAAGTTGTTTGCATAATGACAGACAGCAAGTTAGGGGCAGAGCTAGGACTGACAGGTTGGAACCAGCTACTTGAATTGTGGCCCCTCCAAATGAGTGATTACATGAATAAGTCATCACCGTAATTTTTTTTTAGATTAGAAAATATAGCTTATTTAAAAACTAAATTAGAAAGAGAGAGAGAGAGGAGATTCACCTCCCCAAGGTAGGGGAGGGAACGAGTTATACTGTAATGAACAGGCCTGGTTAAGCTAAGTGAGCCTATATTTTCAACCACTTTGGAAAACTATTTGATTTTCTTTTTCAATTCAGTTTGAAAATGCCCAGTGCCTAATATCTAGCCAACTCACTTCCACCTTTAGATACTCAAGTACATATGTGCCAGGATGCATTACACCAGGAGGTTCAAAGCAACATTTCCACAATAACCTCTAGCTGAAAACAACCCAAATGTTTGTCAACAGTAAAATGGATAAAGCATTGTGGGGTATTCCTACATTTGAATATTATGTACAAACTTTAGCCACACACAAGAAGATAGGTAGATCTCACGAATATAATTGTTGGGTGAAAGAAGAATTTACAAAGGAAACATAGAATACGACTTCACTTGTACAAAGTCAAAAACAAAAACGTGATCATGTTGTTTAGAAATGCAGACAGAGCTGGTAAAACTATCAAGAAAAATAAAGACAAGATGACCCAACATCCTGGGGCAAAAGAGCTGGGGGTAGGTGGTGATCAGGAATGGACTTCTGAGGGCTGGCAATGATCTATTTCTTGACCTGGGTGATAGTTACACAGCTATTGCCTTATAGTTATTGCTTAAACTTTCTGTGTCTTTGTACTGCACACTGTTTTCAGTCATCTCTGAATTGACATGTTACCCATCACATTTATTTATTTCCTGTGGTTTAACTCTTCTTATTTCTTGCCCTTTAATGAGGACCTTAAATACTTGTTTTATGTGTTTTTAAGTGAATAGAACATAAAGAGTTAAAGGGAACATTTCTAATGAGTTCAATTCAGTCAATACATATGCCAACGATAAGGTGTGGACATTTCTTTCACATACATTTATATCTTTTAAGAAGACTGAACCAAAGTTAGGCAGAAATTCAGATCCACAAAGTTCCATTTTTCTTCCGTTAACACACAAATAAACTTTAGGCTTCATTTTAAACCTTCCCCGGAGTCAAGTTCATGCCATATGATCCAGAATGACTGCCAATGGATAAGCTAAAACCCAAAAAAGCTCTGAGTAAATTGTATAGGAACTGTCACACTGGCTTTCTTTGAATGGAAAATTTAAGATAGAGACAGGTTTTCTTCTATGATATGAAAAACAATTGAATAAGAGAGGAAAAATGCACGTCATGAGAAGAAAAAAGAAAAATAGAAATCAGTAATATTCACTTGACATCTTAAGACATACTATACACAGTGGACACTGTCTATTTCATTAAGAAATGTAAACATTCCTCTGCCTTTATTGTTTGCAGCTTGCACAGACACACACTGGGTGCTAAGTAGTTACCTGAAGAGGACTAAGGGCACTCCCTGGCTGCAGCAGGCTTCTCCTGGCTTTCTTCAGTTCGGGCTCCAAGTCCTGCTCCCTTCCCAGGCTGTCTGGACTTTCGGACTCTGGGCAGGACCTAATGTAGTCCCAGGGAGGTGGCAATCACTGTGATGTCACTGATGAAACATCTCAAAGGAACAACCTCCAAAAGTTCAAGGCTATTTGTGTTCAGGGGGACATGGAAATATGTTGACTAAGACATTGTTCCTTGGCTGCCAATGGCCTACCACTGAAACTTCAAAACCTCCCGTTTTCAGTTGACTTTTAGTGCATTTGATATGGGTTTTACATCTGTCTTTTACGTCTTCACGAACACCTCTAACGTGTCTTTAAAACATCATAGGGAGAGAGACTAATTTTAACCAATCCATGCTGCTTTGGCTGCTCTTCCTACTCAGCGTGTGAAGATGTAAAAATGTGATTTCATTTCACCATTCATATCTTTAACTATTTGAAATATAAAGAGTTCTCAGCCTCATGCCCACACATGTGCATGCTTTCCCTCCCTCCCTCCCTCCCTCTCTC